TTGGTCTTTTTGAGACAGGGTTTCCCTGTAGCCCCAGCTGTCCTGGAACTCACTATGTAGACCAGGCTGGCCTTGAACTCACAGAGATCTGCCTGCCTCTGCCTCCCGAGTGCTGGGATTTTTAAAAAATGATTTCTTAAACATACGAGAACCACTTACATATAGTATTTACATGTATTTCATATGATAGTACTCTATGGAATGAACAATTCTGCCCTACGGGAGGGGCTTGAACTTCTGTGGATTTTGGTAGCCACAAGAGTCTTTGAATCAGGGATGATGACATTCACTAAATAAAGGATGTTAATGGTTTATTCTTGTTGGTCATGGGCTGTGGCTGGCTACTAATGGCCTACCAAAGCTGATTACTATAATTGTGAAGAATTATGAAGATTGGTTGTGAACCACAGTGAATCTAAAAATTAAATTTTATTAAAAGCAAAGATAATAGAAATAAAATATCACTTTGTCATTATTTGCAATGTAGTTTTTTGGTAGTAATGGGAATTGAACCCAGGATCTCACACATGCTAGACCACATCTTCACCACTGAGCTATATCTTCAGCCCTCTTTTTTCTACATTTTACCCTTTACATTCCTGAGGTTATCTGTGCCATTTGTACACCCAGATGTCAGGAATCCTAGATGACGGTGTGCTATTGTGACTCTTGAAATATGCCACAGAGTGAGTCCTTCCATCAAGGAAGTGAGCATGTGCTGTAAAACAGCCCCTCCTTTGCCCCAGCCCCTCCTCTGAAGACAGATATTCGGCACTCACTGGCACCAGCACCAGTTCCAGCAACAAGATGTAAGCCAGAGGTCACTGGAGGCACGAGGAAAACTTCATTTTCTCTACTTTGCAAACAGGTTCTACCTTCGGGTAAATCGTTTCATGCCTGAAGTGGAGCTCAATTTTATTGGTATTCTCTGGCCAGACCTGCCGAGATCTAGACTTGATGCTGCTTATGAGCTTAGTGAAAAGGATGAAGTTCTGTTTTTCAAAGGTAATATTTCTGATTGCTTTTCGATGTTTTTAGGAATTAGAACTTCATGCATTTTTGGAATGAGATAAAGAGTACTAGCTACACTCACTACAAGTACTTCTGAATAACAGTCTCACTACATTAATGGGAGTCCATCAGATTAGTTAAAAATTATATTGTATATTCAGAGTCATTTTGAATAAAAAGTAGAGATAATTCTTTAGGCCTGATTAAGAACTTGGACTTAGATTTTTTTTTTCTTGTATAAACTATCTTTGTATTTAAAATTTCCTCAATATTGCTGGGCGGTACTCAGAATAAAATTGAGAACCATGGGTCAATTCTACATAGGATGAAACAAAAGACTTTGTTTATGTGATTTCCTAGACCCTATTTCCATATAAACCGTTCAAGAGGGTAAGGCCACCACCAAGCAGTTAGTTAAATGGGGCACTGACAACTTGGGCTTAGAGTGTGCAATCTATTACAAACAGAATCTCGGCCAGAGCCAGACATGGTAACCTTGACCGATAATCTCAGCACTTGAGTAGGCAGAGGCAGGAGCATAATATCAGGGCTATATAATATACCTCTGGAAAGGAGGAAGTAAAAAGAAGGAAGGGAGGGAGGGAGGGAAGATAAAAGAGAGAAAAGACAGAAAGGAAGGAAGGGAGGAAGGAAGAAGGAAGGAAGGAAGAAGAGTAACATTCAATAATAAAAACAGTAAATAAAATCCCATTTTATAGATCAATAAACACAGAGCGAAGGAAAGAGGGAGTCTGTGGAGGCACAGATCTCATGGGTGACATCAGTCACTGATCCTTGCCCCTTCCTCCAGGCTCTTTTCTTGATGCTAATCTGTATGAGGATCATGTTAGTGCTTTACAAGAGAACTCAGTCTTGTTCCCAGTACCACTGTACTGATGACATCCTGACTCAAAATTTGTCTGTTTTGAGGTTGCATAGGACTTTTGCATGCTGTCACCATTGCTGTTAGTTCATAAATACCATCAAACATAGCAAGTTCCAGGCCAGCTGGGGCTACAGAAAGACCCTGTCTCAAAAAAGACTTCCCCCACAAAAAAAAAAAAAAAAAAGAAAAAAGAAAAAAGAAAAAAAAAAAAAAAACAATCCAGAATCTCAAGTTCCGCTCCAGAACTTCTTCTTGGAGAAAATCTAAATTTGAACTAGTTTTCCAGACAGCTCATCTACAGATTAATGAAGAAATAGCCCCCAAATGAGTGTGAGTCAAAAAGAATGAACTGCTTTGATTCCATTGGGATGAAAGAGTCCAAAATCTTTGGCTTTGAGCACTATGTCAAACACAAGTATTTTTGCAAATGTGTATTTGGTTTAGTGCAGACAAGCACTGAGATCCAATCTAGTCACACACTCAAAGAACTGAACGTGGTTCACATAGGCTTAGCCATTTGAAAGAGCATTTCAAGTCTTTACAACACAAAATTAAATAGGACTTTATGTACCATTTTAAAGAGCCATTTCATGTGGGCTAAAATAAGCATGTTTGTGAACAGGAATGATTGTGGATTCAGAACAGAAGGTCAGTTTTATGTGGTATGAAGGTTTATTGACTATAAATATATAGACTTGAGACTCCACATAAATTTAGATATATGGAGCTGCATTCTAGTCTGATGCAACCATCTGTATGCAGAGTTGCAAATTATTAGGTATTGTGAGTCCTACAACACTCTGCCTTTTAGGAGACCATTGGTATGAACTATATTTTATCCCTGTCCTCAGTGAGGTACAGCACGGCAGATGTTAGTCATTTGTCAACTGAAAAAAAAAAACTAAATAAAAAAATTAAAACTGAGTTATTCTTAAAGCCACAGATTAGAATACTCTAGAAAACTTAGAAAATACTCATGTAAACCAGGCTTAGTTTATGCTTATAATCCCAGCACTTGGGAAGATGAAACAGGAGGATTGCTAAAAATTTATGGGCAAGCCTTGTCTGCATAGTGAATTCTAGACCAGTCTGAGTCCTAGTATATGACCCTACGCCAAAAACCAAAACAAGCAACAAAGGACAAATTCATTTAATTACTCTGAGATATAATTTCACCTTCAGCATTAAACAAAATAACAACTTCTTCCCTGGAAGGTTCCAGTTTGTAGCCAGATCACTGCTTTAGCATGAAAAAAGTCATCTGGAAGTGTAGCTGACTGTCTACTGGAGCCCTGGGCAACTATGTTCATCTGTGACTTTAATCTACAGGTAATAAGTACTGGGCTGTTCAGGGTCGGGATGTGGTGTCTGGATACCCCAAGGACATCTACAGCTCCTTTGGTTTCCCGAGCCACGTGACACGTATCGATGCTGCTGTTTATCAGGAAGAAACTGGCAAAACGTATTTCTTTGTTGGAGATATGTACTGGAGGTAAAGACTGAGCCCCAAACAACCCTTCCACATCTCTTCCTTCTCCTAGCTTCATGTCCTCTGTTTTTTATGTTCTTATGGAGTCACATTTGTGCTCCCTAAATGCTCTTCAGTGTGGGTTCATGCCCTGGAGCCTGGTCAGCGCACCCATTATCACAACCTTAAAGAAAACCAATTTCCCACCACCTATCAAGCTATCACGTGGCGGGAATGAGGCTTCTTGCCCACCTCCCTCCTCCATGCTGTGATTTTTGCCTGGCTTGAGTTTGCATAGGTCTTGTGCATGCTGTCCCAATTCCTGTGAGTTCATATGTGTAACTGCCGTGATGACTGGAAAGCTGCTTCCTTAGAGTCATTCACCACCTCTGGCTCTTACAATCTTTCTAACCCCTCTTACGTAATGATCCTTGACTCTCATGACAACAGGATTTGATATAGGTGTCCCCTTTAGGGCCAATCACTCTCCAGTCTTTTTATTTTTCTACACACTGACAAGTTGTGGGTCTCTGTGTTAATCACCCTCTGCTGCAAGAAGATTCTCTGATGAGAACTGAGAGGTGCATTAATCTATGGGTATAACAAGTCATTAGGAGTTTATTCAATACTATGTACATTTAGCAGAGTAATACCAGTAGATTCTCCCCTATGTCCTGTGTGCTCTAGCTACAGGTTTCTAGTCTTGATGAAAGTGCTAGATATGTATTCCATCTTATGAGGCAGGCCTTATTCAACTAGAAAGCGGTAGGTTACTCCAGTAACATTCACGTCACTATTGTACCAGCAGGCATATCTTGCCAGGCCAGTTGTTACTCTAATTCTCAGGATTCAAAACTGGCAAGGTTGATGATCACCTTTCTCTTCTGGGAGCATGCATAGCACCTTCCAACACCATGAAAACAAGTCAGTAGAGATGAACCTTTGAGGTCAGTACTAGCTTGATTTCTCCTTGTTTATTCTACAATTCACATATGTAGTGCCTTCCACAATAGAGTCTTACTGTCAAGTTCTGGTGGGTAACAAGAGCAATGGAAATAAACAGTATTGTGTGAAGGTTTATGGGAACATCCTGGTCATCATCCCCAAAAGAGAGAGTTCATTCTTATCATTGGGCCTTTTATTTGTTAGCATGTTGTCTCTGGTAGAGGCATTATCCCTCCATTATAAGGTAAGTCTATTTATCGTACTATATGTGCATGTACTTTAAGTAAGCTTCCATATGACTTTTTCAAAAGGCTTTTAGTGTTAGTTATCCCTCACATACTTCTGCTCTCCTCTCATTTCCCGCTCCATTTAACCTTCCTATTCCAGTATTCCCAGTTCCCCTTTAGACTCTGCTTTCTATCTTTTCTCCCATGAAGCCCCACTCCCAACCTGGCCCCTTACTAGTTTCCTGACCTCTATGGATTTTCCAATTGAAATACGTGTATCTAAAGATTCAAAGCTACCATCTGCTTGTGAGACAGGACATGTGACATTTGTCTTTCTGATAGCTCACTGGAGTCCATTGTTTCTAGTTGCACCCATTTGAGTTCGTTGAACATATTTATAATTGCTATTTTGAAATCATTGTCTTGTGCCTTAATTAAGTTGCTCTTCTCAGGAGACACTGTGGTAAGTTTACTGATTCCTGAAGATGTATCATCTTGATTATTCATATTGCTTATGTTTTTGTGACTCGACCTAGGCATCTGGCATTAGATAGTGGTCCTTGGTATGGATATCTGGTCTCATCTTTGTTGAACATGAGCTTGGTTCTTTGTTTGCTGTTACCTCAGTGTGTCAGGTTGTCGACCAGCTAAATGGTGTTTTGTATTCTTGAAATAACATTGTGCTGATATGGGAATACGGTGTCAGATGTGTTTTTCCACAGAGTTGGAGGTGTATGAACTTCTGAGCCCAGAAGCAAAGCTTCTATAGGGTTAGTGGATTCTCACTGCCAATCTTCAGAAATCTGTGGAGACTCACATGCTTCCACAGGTGGTCCTTTGGTGACAGTGGGAGCAAGCAGTGCTCCCTGGGGGCCAGAGAATGTATGTCAGACCAACCTCAGGCAGAAGTGGGTATGGTGGAGGCCAGGTCAGAGATCTGTGTGTTGTGGGTCTCAGAACCCTTCCTGGTCTCTGGGCAGCAAGTTGGTGGGGGTGGTTGTTGGAGGAGGTGACAGGCTCTGGGTGTTGCTATGTGGCAGGAAGTTGTCGACCGGTGTTGAGAGTCACAGGGAACCACACATTTGGCCCTAGCAGCCACAACAGAGGAAGGTATCACTGTCTAGGCTCAGGGTGGAGCTCTGGGGCTAAATATCTACTTGGGGTCCAGGGTACACAAGGAGTCACCCATGTTTTCCTGGCTGTGGCATAGTGACCAGTAGGCTTTGAGGTGATGACAGGGGTCAGAGACAGCCTATCTGGGTCTCAGATGGTATGGGCCAACTAAGCGAGAGAGAGAGTGGCCAGTAAGAGTTGGTGGTCCCTGGCAAGTGGCTTTGAGGCTTTGGAGTGATAGGCATTCAACTTCTTGAGCTGCCTGTCCTAAAGCAATTTGCCAATCAGCTAGCATTTTACCTTGTTAGAACACAAGGACCCTACTAGATTTTAGAGTAAACTTATTCACCTACTGGTATACCCAACATTCAACTTTTCCTCATTCAACTCCCCCTTTTCTAATCTCAAAAATTAAAAATTCATGGTAAGCCCATGCTTGTACATTTCCTGTAAAGACTGTAGGAAGTCTGAATGTTTAGCCAAAGGTCCTGATATTTCTGATCATCTTTGGATCAGGTATGATGAAAACAAATTGGCCATGGATGAAGGTTACCCCCGACTTATAGCACAGGATTTCCCTGGAATTGGCCACAAAGTTGATGCTGTTTTCCAGAGACATGGTAAGTGAATATAAAAGTATTTTCTCCATTTTGTTACCATATTAACAGTACCAGTATTGCTATTTGGGAAAACAGGTACCAAAAAAATATGTTTACTGATGACATGAAGTGCTCAGGAACTCAACCTAAACCTAGAAGCAACTTATATCATGTAATAAATATCTTTTGTTTTGTTTCTAGGATTTTTCTATTTCTTTCATGGATCAAGACAATACAAATTTAATCTTAAAACAAAGAAAGTTCATTTTTCCAACAGAGCTAATAGCTGGTTCAACTGCTAAAGGTACAGTAACTATTACAAAGTTAATGGAAGAATGTATTTTGTGAGACCAAGGAAAATGTTTTTCTAAAAATCCATTTATTATTCATATCTTTAACTTCTAAAAGTACAGATAAGCAGAATGCAGAACTCCTAAGTGTAAATTCATTTATCTATCAGGTTACATTCTTTTCATAATTTGCAGTACAATATTTTATGCACTAATACAACTTAGTGCCATAAATGATGGTCAAGAAGGTCAAGTTCCTGGTTTGTGATTCCCACAGGCTAGTTTTGCAAGGAAGGCCATTTGCACAATGTGTGATCCTTGTGATCGTACACTGATCCTGGAGATCAGCCTCGGCAATGGTCCTGGAGATCAGCCTCGGCAATGGACATCTCCTCTCAAGAGAGAAAGATCTAAGAGATAGAAACTGTTCCCAGCGTGAAACCTGTTTGAGGACGCACGAGCAGATCTACAAGAGAAAACACATTTGTTTTTGTTCTTTATGATGGAATCTTACTACATAGCCCAGGCTGGCCTGAAACTTGCTATGTAACCCAGAATGGCTTTGGACTCACAATTCTACCTCAGACGCCCAAGTGTTGGGATTAGCATGTCCCACCATACCCAGCAAAGAGATACTTCTTGAACAAAATAAAGTGTTTGATTCTTGAAGTAAAACCACCTTTGTTGCTAATGCTTTATAAGTTTTCTATATTTATGATACTGTTATGACCTGATTATAAAGCCATACTTACAAAGGTTGTTTCTTCAAATCTGAAATGGAAAATAAACAATATGAAAAATATCCATATGAAAAATTAGTATACCACAAAATTTCAGATTTCAGATGTTCTTGTGTAGTTTATATTATAGAGCTGGGGTCAGCTAGTGCTAGGGGTCTCCAGACCCTTTGTCCTAGACAAGAAATCCAAGCATGATTTAAAGTACAGCGAATGAAGGCTTAGAAGACTTTTCTAAGATGCCACTTCATCCTTTGGGCACATAGGAGGGTCACATTTCCTAAAATCCTCCTCACTACATGTCCTAGTTTGTTCTTCATTGCTGTGACAAAACACTCTGACCAGTACCAACTTGGGGAGGAAAGGGTTTATTTGTCTTACATCTCCCAGGTCGCACGCAGTTCATCAGGGAGCCCAAGGTAGGAACTCAGGGCAGGAACCTGGAGGCAGGAGCTGGAGCACAGGCCATGGAGGAATGCTGCTTACAGGCT